CTTGACAGCACACAACAACATTGTTTTCTTGCTACCTCCACCCCAATTCCAAAACTGTAATTCCTGTAGGCTGTATAAATGTTCTTACATTTAGGGTAGAGCTCTGGTGTTGCAGTGCCCAAGACATCTGACTGCTAACCAGAAGTTGGTGGTTCAAGCCCAATAGCCACTTTGTGGAAGGAAGAAGGGCCAATCTACTTTGTTAAAGATTTACCACCTCGGAAATCCAATGGGGTCTCTCTGAATTGGAATTGACTTGATGGCAGTGGGTTAACACCTTGGACTTAAAAGGAGAAAAAAATGTATCCTTCAGTTTGTTAGGTTAATGCTATGCCTTGAAACACGTATTTAGCTACATTTACATTAAAAATGTTCCAAATAAGGTTAAATTACATTGTGCAGGTGCTAAAAATATCGTACAAGAAACTATGCCTCCGTGGTCAGATCCACAGAATGGTGTCTTTCCAGAGCCTTCAGGCCCTTTAATAACCTTGCTACTTTTACCTGGTCTAGAACAAGGCAGATACTTTAAAAACTCCAACTTTTTAACTTTTGATAAAAAAACTTTATCTTATGCATTCTCTCTACATTGGTTGCTTTTTTAAGAGCGACTGCTGTGGCTGTGGCTGTGGCTGTTACTGGTTCCGTGATATGTATGTTTAACATCCTTTGTGTGTTTGTTTCTTTTATGGTGAAGGCAGACATACTTTTCTGCATAGCATATCAAATATTATTAAAATAATCATTTCCATAATTATTTTTCCAAAATGTGAATCTTAGCAGAGTGAGTTCCTCTAAGCAGGGAACACTATATTATGCAAGCAATGATGATCCTCATGCCTCTTTCATCTTGTAACCTACAGAGCAGTAGGGGGGACTATGAGAGGAGGCAAGTCTAGCGCAATGGTAGAGCTTAATCGTGCAGGCCTCTGTTAGATTATGTGACTTCAAGTCCCAGCCCTGCTGATCACTGGGGTAATTCACTTTATCTCCCTTTCTGGGTCTTGGCTTCCTAATCTATAAAATGAGGCAAAAACACAGAGTTCAAAAGGTGTCTGAAGATTAAATGAGATAATGCAAAGTATCTGATGTTGTGTTTGGTTCATGCTAACTGGACCACAAATGGTAGCCACTAACATTTCCTTTCTCAATTCAGTTCAGCAAATATTTATTGACATTCCCTATGGGCTGGGTCCTAGAAATAAAAACAAACAAGACAGAGACCCAGGGAATTTGGATTCTAATAAGGAAAATACACATATAGCAATAGGTAATTACAAAATAATGTTAAGTCACATAATATGTTAGTAATACATTAAGTCATAGGCATGAAGCACAGGGAAGCAAACATGGGCCCACTGGCCAGTGGAGGCCCAAGCTTTCTTCTGAAGCCTGAGTCCAACATGGAAGGTGAACTGGAATTAGAGCCAGGGTGAGATGGGGAGAGCAAGTTTAAGGAACTGGGCTTTATCTCAAAGAATATGAGAGCTATTTAAACGTTTAAAGCAAGAATAGTAACATTATGTGATTTGCAGTTGAGAAACATCTTTCTAGAGATATTGTGAGAAAGAATAGGAGGAAGTAAAAAAACAGGGGGGGACCAGTTAGGAGGCTGCTGAAGAATCTAGGCAAGATAATGTAAGAGATTAAACTTAGGCTGTTGGTAACAGAAAAACGAGGGGGAACTGATTGCGTAGATGAATATTTTGTGAAATCAGTGGTGCCTGATGATTATTTAGATGTGAAGGGAGACAGAAGAGTTTAGGTAGAAGCCTAGGATATGGCTGGATGGATTATGGGGATTAGAAGGCACTTTGAGAAAAAGGAGCATAGATGATAACGAGTTCATTTTCATTTTTGAGATTCCTGAGGAGAAGCCAAGGATAAGTGCCCTTGAGAGAATGGAACACCCAAGGAGAAATGTCCACAGACCAGGAATGAACTCTGGGAAGCAGCCATATGTATGGGCATTTCAGAGGAGGAGGAGAGGCCATCAAAAGAGACAGAATAGGTAAAAGAAGGTTGAAGAGAACTAGAAGAGAGGAGTGTCAAGACTGATATTCAAGGAGATGGCCTACTGTATGGGTTGTCCTGAGAAGTGGGCTTTGGATTCAGCTGTTTATGTTATTGGTGGTCTTTTCCAAAGCAAGGTCAATGGTATGGTGAGCTGAAGCCAGAGATGACAGTGCGTGAGAAGTGACATGAATGAAGAGCTCAAAATACCATGTGTAGACTATTCTTTTGGGAAGTCAACGAACAAGAGAAAGAAGGGAAAGGTAAGGTTCAGTGAAGTTTTCTGAAAAGAGGTGGGGAGGCAAAGAGAAAATTGAAAGGAAACAATGGTAATTTGATGGAATAATATCTTGGGACAACTGGACCAGGTAGTATCACACAGAAAGGACATCTCTTTTCCTGGGATTATAGGGAAGCTGGTGAACATGGTATGGAAATTGATAAGTTCTGTGAGCAGGGAAGAAGGCTGATTTAAAAAAAAATACAAAAAAAAAAAAAAAAAAAGGAAGGACTTAACAGAGGACTTGGACTTAATCATGAAGAATAACTAAGTTTGTGTTAGTAAAGAAAAAAAGAGCAAGTTAGTCCCCTCAGCAAAAAGCAATTTGCAAAAATTCAGTAACATTTAGGAAGTGATATGTATATGTGCATATGGGAATAAAAACATAGTCATTGTCTTTTCATGCTAAATTTTTATTTCAATGTTATGCAATTGCATAAGTATAAATATTTGTTCAATATACAACAATTATGACATCCATAGGGAATTTCTTAGAGAAAATAAGACTGCAAACACTTTATTGCACAGATCCTAACAAACTTCTAAGCTGGTAAATCTACCTACAGCTGGGAGTACTACCAAGGAGCACATCTTACAACCACACAGAGACTGACCAAATAGAACACAGTTAGGAGAAGTTCTACCAGCTGATTGGAGAGGTTTACAACAACAAACAGGTATTACACGAATGCAACCTTACGTACTCTTTACTCATCCAAAATGCAAAAAACGTATTTGGCAAAAATGATAATACTCTCTACAAAATATACATAAAAATATCATTTGTAAACAAGCAGCTAGTTGTGCTTTAAAGGAAACTGGACAGTTAAAAAGCAAAGGCTGTAAACCATGAACTGCCTCTCCCATAGACCTGTCTTGATGTTTGAGTGCAGAAGGACTGGGTTATCACCACTGCCAAACACAGATATGCATTATAAATGTTGAGACCACTTCTGAAACCCATCTAAGTTCTTGTAAAATATTTGTTTCTTCTACAATTTCAAAAAGGAGTGACGGGAGATGGTTAAAACCACACAGAGAGAAAATATTTAGGTGCAAGGAGGGGAATTTTTTCTTTTTCTTGCCATTGCCAACTCATTTTACAATGAAGGACAACCAAAACAGTCGATTAAATTATGTCTTTGTTTTAGGAGCAGAGTTTACAGCCTTGCTAGTTGATTTACAATCCACAGGGCCATAAGATGATGCTGTGCTCAGATGAACAATTTTATAGCCTACAAAAACGGAGACATCTTCGAGGGAGATTGGGTGCTAGATTAGTTATTTATTGGGAGTTTTTTTTCCTCTTATACACAAACAAACAAAAGAAAAATCCTGCCATAGATCCCAAGTATCTTATAAATACCTATCTGTGTGTATTTTCTCATAGTGCCTTAGTACTTACATCGGCAAGTGCCGCCTAACAAAAATAAGCCACCAGAGAAACTGCAACAAAAACAAACAAAACCCCTCAGCACTAAAATGATTTGATAAATTCTACATATTCCACGGTGTACAAAATTTAAATAAGGCTTAGCAAAAGTAAAAAGGACAGTCACATTCAAGCACCAAATAGCTCCAAGAAGTCTGTGTTACAAAAATGCTGCTCTGTATTAATACAGTATTATTTTTGCATACAAATCAAGAGGTCATGTTATGAAATGTATGGAGCTACTCGATGCATCAGAAATGAATGTGAAACCCAGGAACTTGCTAAAAACAGCAAGCTTCATCTACAACATAAGGCCCCAGCTATGTATTAAAATGTATCTGATATCCTGATTATTTCTTTATATGCTATGATGCCAAAATCCACTCCCCTTCTTTTCCTCCCAAAAGCAAATTTAAAACTTCTTCCAATGCCTGATGCTTATTACTTGACCCTAACTAAGTACTAGCAGGTACATGTGTGGTCAGTAATTTTCCTTCTTATTCAAGACCAGGGCTGGTGCAGGACAACTACAAAACGTGTGCTTATTGGACTAGTGACCCACAGCATAAAGGCCTGAGTTTAAGAGCGCGGAAAGAAGGAAAGAAAGAGAACAGAAACGAAGCTGACATGTGTCTACAGCTTCCGCCTCACAAAGGGTGAAGACCTAACACACACACCCACAGATGAGGACAACTGGCCTGTCAGACAGTTGGACCCAGAATCAAATGTCCATCAGGATGAGCGTGACATGCAAATGGCTAGCTCCATTAGTTCTGGCCATTCCCAGTGGAGGAGAATTCAAAATGCAGTGATTACGAATAGTTCTTGTTTTAGATCTGGAAATATAGGTAGCCAGATACAGTACTATCAAAATCTCTGGTTAGAAATACACATTAAAAACTCACAATCTACAATATTTAGGGCTTTTATTTTTACCTCTACTTAGAATGTTTTAACTTATAAAAAATGTCACCTGGAAATCTTCTCTTAAACCACAGACCAAAACATGTGTGTGGATGTGCATATACACAAACATGGGTGCATACATATTTATACATGCACCCAGTTTTAACCATTTTGCTTCATTGCTACATTATGATAACTAAGTGGTAAAGCAAAACTCTTATTAAAAATAAACCAACAAAGCTGTAGTAAACGACGCAATCAGCAGCAAGGTATAGACTCTACATTCAAAACCAAACACATTGCTACATATTTACAGAGAAAATCTTTTTTTCTCAATGACCTCAAATGTAAAGGTATTTTTGCCTTTTTGTACAAACACTATATGGTAACAGTTTTACCGGTTACAATTGGGAAGGCATTTGGAAGAAGGTCCCTTTCTGTCTCTCTCCCCACTTCCTCACTGAGGCTCCCCCACTCTGCCTGGTAGACACCCCTACACAGTGCTGGTTAAGAAAGGTAGTCAAGACACAGTTACACATTCAGGTTGGGTCTGCATGGTCCTGCCCCCAGGTTCCCCACCCCATTACGAGGCCTTTTTGTGAGGGCTGCTTCGTAAACTCTCTTTCCCCCGCCTCTGCCGCACCACAAAGTCCTTCTCAGAAGAAAGGGTGAGGGGGCGGTCAGCGTTTGGAGATGGGGCTGGCTTGACCACTTCTCTGCCCACATTCTGTTTCCTGGTTGTGGGAGGCTGGGCCGGGGCAGGCTCTTTCCCTTTGGTTTCTCCTATGATGGTGGTCACTGAGAGGGCCCTGTCCCGGTAGCCAGCTCCCCCGCCTAGGTTGGAGTCAGGATGGTGTGACTCTAGAGAGATGGTAGAGCTCGAAAAGGATGGCAAAGAGTCACTCTTTGTCATTTGGGTTTTGCCATCCCCCCCTAACAGGGTCTTCTTATGGTCCCTGTTGCTAGGGACTGTGGGCTCAGCCATGCTCCTATTGGCCTTAGCAAAAGAGGTGTCACTGCTGGTTGTAGAGGTCTCATGGACTCCTGGTCTAACTTCTGGAAAACTGGAGGAGTAGCTCAGAGACTTCTCTGGGAGGGTGGCAGATCGGAAAGAACTCTGCCCAGTGGCCGAGGGTGAGCGTTTCATGCCACCAGGCTTGCCTGCCTCCATCAGGGTCTTCTGGGGACCGAGCCCTTTCCCCTTGGCTTCTGGGAAACCCTTCCCCACTGCCACAGCTGGCTTCTCTGCACCGTTCAGCCTGGCCTCGCTGTGCACAAGGGAAAGGCTGGCCTCCACCTTCCCATTCTCTGCTGGAACATAAAGTGCTTCTGTGCATTTCTTCCCTTCAGACTTCCTGTCTGTGGTGATGGCCTGCTGACTTGGACTCTTGTCCGTGTGTTTGCACAGAGCAGGACAATCTTTCACAGTGGATGGTTTGGGGTGCTTTGGGGATAGGGTTTGCTTTTCACTGACAGTAGGAAGTTTCTGGTCTACTGGCTTCTGGTCTACTGACTCACCAAAACCTATGTGTCCTTGCCTTGGCCAATGCACAGGTTTCTCCAACATCTCTACGGGATGACCAGCACTGGTGGGTTTCAGCTTCGGGTCTAGAGGACCCCCTTCAGTCTGTAGTGGGAGAGAAGGCCCGCTTCCTCTCTGGCTGAGTGTATCGCTGGCTTTGTTCTGGGCACCGGGGATGGCAGGGGGCACATGCGATACCGCCTTGCTGCCGCTCTTTCCCTCTCTGCTGGAGCGGCTGACGGGCTGCTGGACAGGCTCTTCACCCTTTGCAGCTCCAGGGCTTGCTTTCTGGGAAGAGAGTGGCCTTTCTGGCTGCTTGGACTTTGGTGGGCACGGGTCAGGACCAGGCCTAGGCTTCTGGGTGCTGCTTTCACTGTGCACAGCACCAGGCTTGGGAGGGTCCTGGAGGCCTGGACTAGGTGCGACAGCACTAGGCTTGATTCCCGGCTCTTTGCCTGAAGAATGGCTTGGTGCACTACAGTGCTGCCAAGTGGTCAGGCCAGGAAGCTCTTTGGTGGTCAGTGGGGGCTGAGGGCTACTGGTGAGGTGTTTCTGTAGAGGCTGGTCTTTCCTTTCAGGTTCCTTGGGACTGTCTTTCTGCAAAGATGGGAAACTGGAGAGGTTCTCAGTCTTCCCACCCTCAATTCCCGGTGGCTGCAGACACCACCTGGGGGGAGGGGCTTCGGGCCTTGGTTCCATGCTACTTCTGGCCTTGTTCAGCTCCCTTTCACAGGGAATCCCAGCAGAGCGCAAGGAGGAGTCCTCTCTGGCCAGTGGTCTCATCTCATCTTGGCCTTCTTTTTGGTTTGTTTTCCCACACGGTCCCCAAACCTTCTCTAGGGTCTGGGTTTGTGTATGGAAGTCTGGGCGGGTCTTTCCTGTGGAGGGGAGATTTTTGGAGTTGTCACTAGTTTTAGTTTCTGGAGGGTACAGCTCTGTGGATGGATCTTGGCGGACATCAGCTCTTGCCGCAGACCGCTCATTTCTGGCTGTGGAAGGGCCCCTTTCAGATGATTCTCTCAGGCTGGGCTTCTCCCTGGAGGGGGACCCTTCATAATGCAGGAGGCTGCGGGCCGTGGCTGGGTCAGGGCTTCCAGCCGCACTGTGGAGGTTACGCCCTGGAAAGGGAAGGAGCTTGGCATCCGGGGTGTGGTCTTGGTGTCCAGAAGCACAGCCCTGTCTCCGTTGAGTATCATTTTCCATGACTGTCACCAGTCCCCTGGTGGTAGAATGGGAGACTTTCCTGTCCCGTTTTAGCTCTGGGTCAGGCTGGGGAACTGCTGAGGAACTCTGGAGGCTCCGGCTGGGTGGCTGGAATCGAGGCTCGAGCAGGTAGGACTTATGCATCCTCAAGGCAGAGGAAGGCTCCCTCTGACTGGCAGTTTCACCCTTTGCGGGGCTGCCAGGGAGAGCCGTGGGTATGGACGGCCCCATGTCACTGTCCCAGCCTGGGCTCTGTGCTGGCTCTGGGGAAGACAACTCTGTCTTAGAGGCTTGAGGTCCAGACAGGAGAGCAATATTCAAAGTTCCCTCAATGGGCTTCAGGCAGGAAACAGACCTACCTTCCAGCTTATACTCGGAAGAGCTTTTCCTGACTGGGGACTCGGGTGCAACCAGGCCTGGCTTTTCAGCTACACTGTCCACCCGGCCAGTTAAGGCCTTGAGAGGAACAAAGGTGACAGCACTGATCTGAGCTGCATGGGCACCGCTGATAAATGGTCGGCCCTCGGCGGCTGGTGGGGTCTCTTGCGGCCCGCCTGCGGGTCGGACTGCATTCCCTTGCAGGCAGTCATGGGTGCTCGATGCCATCTTGGGCTTCAGCACGGGGCAGAGGCTGTCATCTTTGTCTTCAAGTGACATTTTCTTTCGGAGGTAATCGATATTGACAAGCTTGCTGTCTAATTTCTCACAGCGGAGACACTCCTTGGCCTGGGCAGACTTCTCTGTGTTTTCTCCCTTCCCAGAGGCTGACCTGTTAGCAAAGTGGGAGAAACTGTCTTGGGAGGTGCTTGGAGGGGAGATGCGTTTGAAGTCCCTGGCACCCTGGCCATGCTCCCCAGGTGCAGGGCTGTGGCTAGAAGCTGTGGCATCGCAGGTTGCACTCTCACTGGCCCGCACACTGGCCTTCTTGTGCAGAGCATCTTTCAGCAGGCTGCCTGTAGACTGGGTCTCTTGCTTGCTGGCTTTGTTCTCAAAGTGATTTGATCTTTCTAACGCCTTCGGGAAGATTTTCCTCTCTCTCTCCTCAAGTCTAACAGAAGCAAGGTTTTCCAAATCACTGTTGGCTCCATGGGACATCTGGTTGGACTCTTGCTTCTCTGAGAAGCCATCTGGTTTCTTCACCACCACCTTAGTCTTCAGCTTCTCTCGGTCCAGGTCGTCTACAGACTCCTGCCTTCCCAGCTTGCGGGAGACAGGCCGTTTCAGGCAACCCTGTTCCACTGGCCTGGCACGGCTGAGGGACGGCGCATCACACACGTTCTCCTCCAGGCTCTGCAAGGTGGCTTCCCGCTGAGATTGCTCTCGCTGTACCTCCTCCTGGGTCACCTCCAGGCTGTGCTTGCGGGAACACAGGTGCTTTTTGTCACTGCTATAGGCAGGTGAGAGCTTCTCCTCTGACTGCACACGCTTGAGCAGCGGGGACCGTGGGGGCTCTGCGCTCTTGGGCCTCACGATGTGTCTGACAATGGTGGGAGGGGAGTGCATTTTGCTTGGAAAAGCTTGAGCTATCTTGGAATTGCCAAGTGAGTGTCCCAACAGAGGTGATGGTGACCGCTGTGGGGAAGTAGGCTGGGGAGTTGGAGAGGGTGTCCGGGCCAGGGGGGAAAGCGGGATGCTGCCGGCTGACTTACGCCTTCCAGACCGGTACCTCTGCCCACTAAGTTTGGGGGCCAGGCCGTGGAGAGTGCTGGGCCGGATATGCCCGGACCCTGCTGGAGAGTTGGGGGCACTAGAACTTGGGGAGCTGCTCTGGGAGGAATTAGTACCTGTGGGTGAAAAACACAACACTGTGAGTATCCATGGTCATCTTCCCTTTTGTTTTCCGCCCTTCTAGTCCAGACTGTTTCAGGGAGGATCAGTGAGCAGGTTGGCAAACTGTCTCAGTATCTAATTCTAATGAAAGAAACACTTTTCAGATAAAGCTCCTCCCACTGAGGTTTAATCCAATATTTCTTATTTATGTTATTGGGGTAAAAATATACACAATAAAATATCTGCCAATTCAACAATCTCTACATGTATAATAATTTAACGATGTGGATTGCACTCTTCATGTTGTGTAACCAATATCACTACCTTTTCCAATTTATTCTACCACCATGAACATAAACTCAGTGCCTCCTAAGCAAAAACTCCCCGTTCTTTGTTATGACCATTGCTTACGACCTTCCTATAAAACCTGTTCTATATTGTTTACATGTTCAACCTTCTTTCCTTTAGCTGGAATTAGTTTCCCTCTTTAGGATGTCAGATGATACCACTGATCACCTCTGCTGTCAAGCCCAGGAGTCTCACTCACCAGACGGGAAGTCAGGTGTGGAGCGATAGCTTGGTGTAGGAGATCGGGGAGACAAGCTGTGGGTGGGGGATCCTGGGAGGCTCTCTCCTGATGAGAGGGATCTGTTTAAACAGGAGAAACTCCGGCTGGTATGAAGTAAAGGAGAAGGCTGCTTGGCTAGTTTTTTGAAAAGGGATCTCCTCCTAGAATGAAAACAGAAGGAAAGTGATCAGAGGACAAGCCAGACCAACTCCATCCAAACTCCATTTTCAGAACTACTCCTGCCCCTCACAATACCAGTGCATTCAATTCAACATCTGTGTTAGAGATGCTGGTAGGATGGCAGACTTGGTAATTTTAAAGAATAGGATACCAATTTTATATTCAAAAATTATTCTTATGACTTATAAAGGAATATTCTTTGATTGTATAAAATGAGACTGTTTCCTTTCAGGTCCAATCCTTTGAAAAAGATTTGGAGGAAAAAAAGAAAAATAATAAAATTATATATATATAAAACATTCAATTACTTATTTGTTACTTTTGTAAGGACAGTCTTCTTTGCCTGAAAGCTTCTGAGTACCTGACCCCAACTACATGGATGCAATTTAATTACGAGATCATATGAAATAAATCTCTGGAAGAAAACCCATTATCTTGGATATAGAATCCTTTCATGGTGATACACTGGGCAGAGGCTTTATCTAAGGGCTGTGTGCTGTGCTTATCCCATTGTGGGCTCTTGAATATCCCTACCTACAATGTAGGCTGTATATTTCAATAGAAAACCTGAGCAAGGTGAAGCTACATACAGCTTATCCTATCAGCAGGGCAGCAGATACTACGCAGCAGCTGTAGAAGGAAATGTGCATTTAGTGCTTGCTGAACACACCTGAAAGCAAAACTCACAGCTCTGGACGGCTTATAAGTGTGTGTGGCTGTTCACAGCTCCTCACAGAAGCCCCATTCATCTCTGCTAAGCTTAAAGGCAAAGTTTAAACACTGCTACCCTTGAAACAATGTAGTCTATACGCCTCAAAGCACAATCAAAATATAAAAGACAGCATAAAAGAAGAACCCCAGAACTTGTGTGTGTGTATTTATAATCAAAGAAACAAATGTACTTGGGTTAAGAAGTCTGAGAGTTCTACGAGCTTCTAATGAAAAACAGCAATTCCCCTGCTCTGCCTTTTTCTTTTCCTCACTCGCCAGGAGCCCACTTTCCACTCTTTTGGTTGTTTCTTCTTCTACTTGTCTTCAAGTTGCTAAATGATGAGCTTAGACTGCTATTCTTGTAACTTTTTAGTTTTAGAAATTATGTTCATTTCCCACTAAAAAGGATGAGAATTAAATTTCTTTATCCAATCGCCTTCTTCTGTCTTCCAACCAAATGTACCTCCCCCTTTCTATGCCTCTCAAGGCATTTAAACCAAACTTTTTGGTTAGCAAAAAGGCTGGTGTTTTATTTTACATGATAAAAATTGTTCACAGCTGGGCCATGTAAAGCTTAATTATATTCCCTTTCTTATACATTCTGCTTTTTTCAGAGCTAATGTATCATTTCATTTGCCCACATTTCTACATCTCTATCAACAAACATCTTCATAATGTGGTCAGAAGCATCCAATCCAAGTGGGTAAAGGGGGGAATGTTTTGTTCTCACACAGAGAGTTGCCCTGCAAGAAATCCCCCTACCAGACATGCACACAGCTCTTGGTAATGTGTGTCTATATAAAGCACCACAAGACACTCGTCATTGCTTCCCAGACGACAAACATGTACAATGTCCTTAGCTTTTCAGTCAGTGAAATAAAGTCCTTTTACTTGTAGGCTTATTTTGAAGCCTTAAAGAGATAGTTATTTTAGAATACTTGACATTTAAAAAACACCAACTGTTTGTTTTTAGATAATGTAAAGGACATCACTGAACGCAGATTTCTGTTACAAACTGCCTGGGGGCCGAGTTCCTCAAATCCAGCTCAAGTGAAATGAAGTCTAGAGGCTTCAAAAACAGTAAGGGGCTTTTCATGGTACCCAAACATGATAAAAAGCAATATAAACCCTTCTATGATGTAAATATGTCAATCTTTTTTACTCTGCAATATAACACTACTATGAATATGAACATTAATGTATCAATGTATATGAGCCATACTATACCATTTCTCACAGAAAAATAGAGCTTTCTCATATGTAAGCATTTAAATTAAGTAAGAAGTAACTTTCTCCAAAATGGGTACACACCAAATATTCAAAGAATTTCGATTTAACTAACCTTTCTAGACTTTCCTTCTTCTTAGATTTCTTACTTCGCCTCACCATCCTGCTCTTATAGCTGTTTCTCCTGGCTGGTCCTGTTTTGATTGATGTGTTTTCAAATGGGGTAGTGGTGATTGACACCTTATTTCCACTCTATTAAAAAAGAGAGAGAGAAGGAGAGATTATTAAAGAGAAATGTGGTGATGAAACAAGATCAGAACAGAGATAAGATATTCAAAGACAAATAAAAATACATATGAACTTCCCACTTCTAAATAACCTTTCACTCCATGAAACCCTGACTATATAAAAACTGGGTAGAAGGAAAGACTCTTGGGGTGGGCTCTGGAGTCTTCAGAGCTGAGTTCAAATTCAAGCTCTGAGACCTTAGCAGATTGTTTATCCTCCTTATTCCTCAATTTCCTTTACTATGTAATAATATAACCACACCTTTCTCATAGCGTTCATATGAGGATTAAATGAGATCAAGTTGGTAAAGCCTTTAGCACCAAGCACGACACATGGAAAGGGCTCTATATATAATAGTTATCTTCATCCATATGTATTGAGTATAAATGTGCCCAGGGGCTGTCTGCTCTCGGTTGATTTATTTTTATTTTTCATCCTTTTTGTGTTTTCCTTTGGCCTAGAAATCACAGGGTAGCAAAATTGAATGGGACTTTTATATTTAATCATTTTAAAGGTTTCCTTTTCTACCGCCATAAAATCTGTCAGCTTGCAAAACTGGGACATTTATGCCAGTCAGAATGAAACACCCTCTCTTTGTCCTGCAAGGTGAGATAATTTCTGGTATGTTTCTGCGTCTTTTCACTCAATCCTGGGACAGGAGCTCACTGGGAAGGCCCTTGGGGATGGATTTGATAGTGGAGTCAAAAGCCAGGTGAAGGGGAGCCTAGGGCAGGTGGACAGACTTGAACTCCCAGTCACCTTGGCATCAATTACCTCTTCTTGAATTTCTTAATAACCAGGGGAGAAACATGTCCTTTCAAAGTCAGAGATGGCCCTGATTGCCTTAAAAATACAGAAGTAGGAGAAGGGCTTTTTATAGGCTCATGCCTGGGAAAAAACCTAGCAACTCAGCTCTAAGGGGTATCAACCGATGGGGAGTTAAGTATGCTATGATTATCAAGGGACCAAAAGAAGAGGGAATGACTATTTTACTATTAATGTCTATTTTGGTACCCCAGGTTTGGGAAGTAAAACAGGTCCATGGTAAGAAGAAAACAGTAAAGTATAAAATTAAAAAAAAAAAAAAATCATTGAGAACACTATCGCTTCACCACCATTGGTAATATTTCAGGGAGCTTTGATAGCATAGTGCCTAAGGCATTTGACTGCTAACCACAAGGCTGGTCGTTCAAACCCACCAGCCATTTCTCGGAAGGAAGGCTGGGCAATCTACTTCTGTAGTGATATAGTCTTGGTAACCCAAGGAGGGGTCGCTATGAGTTGGATCCGACGTGGGGACAGTGAGTTTGGTTTGAGAGTTTGGTAATATTTCAGTGCATTTCATACTGGTCTTTTTTCAGGCATGCATAAATCCACACATTTCACATCTAAAGATATCCATACATACATTTTATAAAACTAACTTTAACCTTATTATACTTACAATTTTGCTTCCTAGGTTCTGTTTTTTTTTTTTTAATTTTCATTTCACCTTACATAATTTTGATAAATTTCCCTTCATCATTATTCTTTAAAAACATGTTTTTTTATTTTCTGTGTAATATTGTCCATGAGATTGGTGAATTAAAATGTATTTAACTAATTCCCCATTGCTATTTTCATCCATATTTTTCAGTTCTTCTAAGAAGGAAAATACATGTCCTATCCAGAAATCATTGTCCTAATCTCTGATATTTCCCAGAGGTTATGTAATTAATTAGACTTGATAAACTGAATCAAAGGGTCTATCCGACCTTTTTAAAGACTCTTAGTACATAGTGACACACTATTTTCCAGAAAGATTTGTCAATTTATATGCCTGCCAGTAACAGATGAGCACCTATTTTACCACAGGCTTGTCAGAACTGAGTATTAATGTTAAACAATTACCAATTTTATAGGTAAAAATGTTATCTTGTTTTAACCTCCATTTCTTCACTATTAACTAGGCTGGATGCTGCCTCTTATATGTTTCGGTCATTTGTATTCTTTTAGGGAATTATTTGTCCACGTCTTATATCCATGTTAGTATTGGAAAATCTTAGTATTTTATTCTTGATTTCAGTTCTTTATATATTATGAATATAGAATCCTGCACCTAATTTCATATTTGTAGGAAATATTTTAGAGAAATAGAATCTGAACTTGAATAAGATATTTTTAAAAAATTTTAAAGAATAAGTTATATATTATATATGCCAGTTCTAAAACTTTTAAAAAAATAAACCTTTATCTGATAATACAGATTGATATTTTATTAATTCTTTCAACAGAAAATCCAGCTTTTAAGTATGGAAGGTCTGCCAGTGAAGGCTCTTTAGAACGGTCTTCTCTTCACCGAGTGAAGTCACGCTGAAATATTAGTTTTCCTTACATGCCTTAGGTGAATGAAGGGGGCAGCAAACATGGCTAGAAGTTCACCTTCAAGGCCTTTCACTGCAGCCCTTTCAATCCTTTTCCACATTCACACTCAGCATAGCTACACAGAGCCATAATGAGCATGGGGTTTGTTCTAGCTGTCACATAAGCCACTTGGGCCCAAATACAATTCTAACCTCTTGTAACGTAATTCAGTATTGATGTTTGTGTTTTTATCTACAAGAGGCTAACCATGCCACTTTGCATTTTAAAAGTACATTTTGATTTTTAAAGTTTTTTTTTTTTTTTTTAACATACAATCTCCTACTTTATTTTTACAACTAACTAATGAGAGTTGTTTCTTTCACATTTCCATGAGGCATGAAGGGACTATCATCCATGCTTTATAGGTAAGAAAAACAGATTCAGAGACACGGAGATGCTTCACTAAGCTCACAGAGCCCAGTGGAAGAGTCCAAGCTTGACTCTTCTGCCCCATTACCACTGGTGTCCTTTCTACCAGGATATGTTCCTTATGGGCAGGGAAAGCCAGGATCCTCTCTACCTCTCCTGTGCCCACACAGTCTCACACAATATACAGCTTGTACTTAATGAGTGGTTGTGAGTGAACCAGGGACATGACTGACATTATAAACAGTCAGAGTATCAGAATGTCAAGAAGAAATTAAGGAAATATAAACATACTATTAACACTGTGTAAGATAAATATAAGGAGCTCTGGTAGCATAGTACCTAAGGCATTTGACTGCTAACCAGAAGGCAGGCAGTTCAAACCCACCAGCCACTCCTTGGAAAGAAGGTTGAGCAATCTACTTCCATAGTGATACCGCCTTGGAGACCCAAGGAGAGGTCACTATGAATTAGGTCTGACTCGACAGCACGTAACAACAACAACAACAACAACAAAGATAAATATAAGGACCTCTGGTGGTGCAGTGCCTATAGCATTTCGACTGCTAACCAGATGGCCGGTGGTTTAAAGCCACCAGCTGCTCTGAGGAAGGAAAATGGGGCAATCTACTTCCAAAAAGATTTACCACCTCAGAAACACAATGAGGTTTGCTATGAGTCAGAATTGACTTGATGGCAGTGAGTTTTTTTTTTTCTTTCTTTCAAGATAAAAATAATGTAAGTACTGAACATTTATCATCAGAAAATAGTAAGACTAGGGCTGCTCAATCAGCTCATTATTAGGCTCTGTGCAAATGCACCCTTCCCCGATAAAAACTAAACTTCTCGTTTCTAAATATAGGAGTTTCAGAAGACAGTTCATTCGACTTATGGAAAACCACTAAAATATGGCTTCCTTAAGAAGCAGTACAGACACAAAGGATGCAGACCACAAATACTGGGCTGGAAACACTAATGATAAAACAAATGGTAATTATATGAAAAATAACTTCAATAGAATAGGTGAGAATTGTGAAGCCTGCCCCCTGGTGGACCCATCCAGCGCAGCAACTGCTATACTGAACTCAGTGGCTGAGTGGATTGGTTTATCACCAGTTAACTTCTGAAGAATCAGTGACCTCTTACTAGAGAAATTATGCAATACTTGTTTAAAAATATAACAACAACAACAAAGTGAAATGGGGCCAGTACACTGTTAATGTTCAATTAGTTCACTTTTACTTTAAGCTAGTCGTATGATTAGTGCACAGTAGGAGGGGAATTATCTTAAGCTGGCTGAACTAAAGGCAATAGCAGAAGTAGAGCTTTCCGTATTCCTCTCCCAATCTGATTGTATGTTAGCTTATTGGATGGCCATGGGTACCTCACTGAGTTAGACTGTTTCTCTTGGCAAAATGCTGGTAGGGGAATGATGCCCCACTTGCATATGGGTATCTTACCCCTAATTCACACTCTTCACAATCCTGCCCCAAATGTCTTACCTACTTTATCTTACATATGAACCCAGACTCTAGCCACATCAGTTCACTCATGCACTACCAACACTGGGTTCTCCTACCCTTGAATTTTTACATGCTCTCTTCATCTTGCCTAGACTTTCCTGCATCCTCTTTCCACATACTGAATCTCCACACACTCTTTACAGTCCTCTTCAGACAACACTCAACTCTTCCAAGCCATCCTTGCTCACCCTGGTGGGCAGGCACCTCTTCTTCAGAACGTCTACAGTACTTAGTCTTCTCTTTCTGTCGCAGTTTCATTATAGCATGACGTTGTCTCTCTTTTCCCCTGTGCACATCAGATAACCAGTTATTGGCAACAGAGCCCTCCTGTGTAGAGCAGCAGGGTACAGTAGTTGAAAGCACAGGCTCTGGAGCCACACTGCCTGGGTTCAAGTCCTCTTCTGCTCCTTCCTAGAAGATCCCTTGCATCATCTTGCTAACTGTTCTCTGCTTTGGTTTCTTCATCTTTAAAATTTATAGCACCTACCACACAGGGCAATTGTGAGGATTATGGGAATTTATTCCTAAAAAGCACTTAGAACACAGCCTGGCAGGGGGCAGGAGCTCTCTATTAGTTATTCCTTTTTTTTTTTTTTTTTGGTGATTCGGATGCAAATTTACAAAGCAGATTCATTTCACGCTCAACACAGTTCACACACTTTTTGTTTCACA